TGCAAATGCGAACCACGATGTACTATCTTTAGTCTAAAGACAGTATAACATCAATCGTGATCCGCATTTGCAAAATATTAGTGCGTTTTGAAACCTATAAAAAAGAAAGTGTCGCAACCGATGTGTTCATGACTGTACACCCGGTAATCGCATCTGTTCGATTTCGACGATTTTCGCAATCGTCCGCAATTTTCGCGGTACGCACTTGAATTTCGGCGGTTCCAGAGGATCCACTTGTGCCTCCACCATTCTGATAACCCTCTGCTTCGCGCCCGAGTTGAACGACTGACCCTGCTGCGACGGCGTGTAACGTATGTACTGAGCCGGGGCCTGTTTCTCGGCGCACCTCACAGGCATGGCCGCCGCGATCTTCGATCTCGTTATCTTTTCCAACGCCTTCTTCGTCTTATCCGTGAGCTCGTCAATTTCGACGTCGATGGGCCGCCGCAAGGTGGGATCTTCCTCGTTTGTAATCTCCGACGGTAGTAAATCGCTCAATTTGCTGTAGACAATCTGTAAACGAAAAAAAAATCAACGGATGAGCTGACCAGTCTACAATCCCGTGAAATGCGTTCGCAGCGAGGACGAAACTTACTTTATCCTTGCCGTGGCCCTGCCTCGCTATAAGGTCGTACTTCACTTTCCCCTGAGCGTCGAGCTGCACCGCCAAGGCGTTGCTCGTCGACTCCTTGCCCTTCATCCCCATTCCAAGTGGGTACTGCGCGACGTGAATCTCGGGGAAGGCTCCTCCATCTCCAAAGTCCTATGCGCAACACGCAACATGTATTTATACACTTCGGAGTATTATTAAGCGTTAGCGTTAACGCAGTCGTGATTTTGCAAGAGCAATTGAATTAACGCTACGATTAAAAAAAAAAAGCCCGTCTATGCAAATCTCTATCGAGTCACGGCGATCACTCACCTCTGGATTGCGTGGCACCCATCCTCGCCGTTGCCCATACGGCGGTGCAGTGACAACGGCTTTGACCAGCGCCGAGACGGGCCTCTGGCGCAGCTTCTGCTCGCGCGCCTCGTCCTCCCTGTCCCACACCACTTGGGTCGGGGCAGGTAACAGGCTAGAGAGAAAGACAAAACAAACTATTATTACAGTCAGAAATTCTGATTCTATGAGCTTAGAGGTTAGGCTAACTGTTTTTCGAGTCGATCGCGGAGAAAAAACGTCTCTCGTTTACGTTACTTGAGATTAATGATCAATAATAAATGATAAGTAGCAACGAAATGATTTTACTGGACATATAAATAGGCGTATAAATGTAACAGTCCCTTACTTTGTTAAAGACATCACGATTTGTGTATCCAACCCACTGTAAGATACACATACACATACACACACACATAAACTGACATACAGCAGTGAGCAGATCCAGCTGAACCTGAAGCTTCGTGTTTTTACCGCGCGAGGTCTCCAAGATCGCACTCGTGTGGGAGCCGCGGAGGGAGGGGATTAATGTGATTCCTCTTGTCAAGAGTCCCTTTTCTGCAGCTGATATGCCTCAACGTACCAAATTTATGTAGTCGTTACAGCACTTGATCACTATAACTCAAACTCGTAGAATGACTTCCAAGCCGGAGATCACGTTGGAACACTTTTATATTTTTAATGGCACTTACGCAAAGAAGGAAGGAGAGGCAAGTAATATGTCAGAGACAAGTCAGAGAGATTAATATTTTTTTTTCTGATTAAATAAGTTGCCCTGTGATGTGAACATGTTTTCTTTTTTTGTATATCAGGAGGAAAAGAAGATATTGTATTACTATCCGGAAAAGGATCTGGATGCTCAGATCAAGAACATAGGGCTCAGCGAAGCGATAATCAAGTTTACAGAGTACGTATCTCAATTGTGTATCTCGCAGTAGAGAATTATTCTTATGAAAGAAATCCTGTTACGCAGATCTTTCAACCCTGGGCAGCCATGTGACTATTGCCATACGCATAAAACACGTCAGATATACTATCAGCCGGAGCCTAATTTCTGGATGGTAATGGTAAGTACTTGACGATAATACAGTAGATATTGGAACGTAAACTGTTATTATTTTTAAAGTAGCGTCTGAGCTACAACTTTAACTTTATTGATATCTTACAGATCGTCGGTGTGCCGTATATCTATAAGGAAAGGGACGGTAATAAGTATCAGAATGACGAAGTATCCAGCAGTGTTTGCCAAGCTATATTGAAGCAGACGTATATGATGTTTAGATTGTTCATGGGCTCGTTCGAAACCATCATTAACGACCCTGAATGTGGCTCTGTGATGTTGTTGAGGCTTAAGCTGGAACACTTTTATTCACGAGTAAGCAAATGCACATGTGTTTATCGAACGTAAGCTGAATAAGATCGACGCATGGATGTATATCTTTGTCTCACTTTTTGTCTCAGTATCTGCTCTCGTTGAAGCTGAATAACAGCGATATACTGGATGTCTTTCAAGGTCTACAATTCTTACCTCTTGACAAGATCACGTTTCTCAAAGTGCAATGCTTCATGAATCTTGTAGAAGCTATGTTCACACAAGTAAAATACACAGCATTCCTCTACAATGACCAAGTCGTTTGGTACGTTCTTTTTTTACATTATTTCTTTATTGTGACGTGCATATTTCGAAAAACTTTTTCCACAAGATTTGTGCGTTGTGTAATTTAGGAGCGGCTTGGAACCTGAAGACATGCAAGTAGTTTATAATTATTTAGTGAGCACCCTTTTGCCAGCTCATCTCGAGAAAGAATTGCATGGAGGCTCGATACCTAGAAATTCTCCCTCGCCATTCACTTCTTCACACTATGGAAAGTAAGAACAACGGATACACTTTCGCTCTCCAATTTAATTGCCAAGTTGCGTCGAGAGTACTATTAATTAAAAATACTTCTGTTTAGATTTGTCACCGGACCTGCTAGCGTTAATGAGCCCAGTTTGATTGGGAAATCACCGAAAGTCTTTATCAACTACTCTACCAAACCTGTGTCATTATACCTAGTTGTATATCGAGCGCTAAGCGCTACAATATGTCTCTTCGTCGACAGTAAGTGAAACTATATCAAAATCTATTGTTGCATTTTTTTTATCAACATGAAAATGAAAATGTTCGTATTTTGTTTTACCTTTCAGAAAAAACTAGTTTATTAATTGATTTCTTCAAGAGCTTAGACAGTTTTCTGGGACCACAATTAACCACATTAGTTAGCTCCGTGGCTGAACAGTGCTCTAAACATGTAATAGTCACACCGGAATCGTGTACCAAGTATCTATACTTCAATAAGTTAAATTTAGCGTACAAAAGTACGATACATTTAGATAATAGACGTTGCTCTAACGTGCTCACGACACCTGAAGTATTGAGGATCATTACTGACATATACAACGATAAAAACAGGTACGTACGTTCTCCAACGTTCATAAAAACGTATGCGTCAATGAGAATCACATGTTTAGTCAATTATTTGACTCTTAGATTGAAGGAAGCTGGAGAAATAATTATAAAGACCATAAGCGATTATTGGGTCATCGGCAAGTTGTCCAATTTGAGAGAATTTTTTGTTGTCATACAGCAGAAGAGTGCGAGTATTATAGAAATTGATGGTGGGTACAGCATATTCTGTATGAATGTGAACTCGTGGCGATTGTATAATAATTTTTTTTTTATTACAGATGAAGTGAAGAGGCTTTGCGAGAAACAATTGAAAAGTATTTTTTTCCATTGATGAATGTGCGACAAAAAATGGTAACGAAATTGTATTATTATTGTGTCCTTACTTTTATCACGAATCTTTCTTTTATCCCGAACAACAATTCTGTCTCGCTGATCATCCACAGGCAATATACATAATATTATATGAAATAATTATAGGAAGCTGTGTATTTATACACATGTGATATAAAATGTGAATTCTCTCTCTATATACACATATATTTTATATTATTCATTATTATTAATTACTATTGAAAAATTAAAAAAATTTGTATATATAAATAAAGTGAAATAATGCTACAATAATAATTGCATATAATAATAGCATTCTTGTAATCCAATTATAAAAAAAAATTGTTGAACAAATTTTTAAGGGAAATTTAACAATTTTTCTAATTTTTCTGATTAAGAATATTGTTGGAGAATTTTTTCAGTTTTGCTACAAAGAAACCGTCCATGTTATGTACATGCGGGTAAAACCGTTTAGTTAATTTCAGCGAGGGGTGAAATCGGTGTTGCCTGTAGCTCGTGAAACCGTCGGTTCCAAATTCCAGGCCGGTAGGCACCAGCTTGACGTCGCGCTTCTTAAGAGCGTAATCGACGATCCACTCGTTCTCCTCCGGTAGAATCGAGCAAGTTGAATAAACGATAATACCACCCGTGTCCGAACGCGCGTTAACACAGTCAATTGCGGCTAACAACAGTTCTCGTTGTAACGTGCAACACCGCTGAATGTCCACTTCCGCCTTGCTCGCCTTCACACCGGGATCTTTCGCGACCACCCCCGTACCCGTGCACGGAGCGTCCAGCAGAACTCTGTCGAAGCATTTCATGACCTGAAAATGATCATTATCAAATCCGTAAATTTTGAAGGTATCTTTTATCGCGAGCTACAAAGACCAGGAAAGATTTCTTTACCGTAGGGAACTTCCGCCCGTCGTAATTGCAGATTATAGAATTGACGACGCCAAGTCGATGGAAATTGCCAACGACTGCCTTCAATCGTTCCTTATTCGCGTCGTTAGCGAATAGCGTTCCGGTGTTTTTCATGAGGGCGGCAACGTGCGAGGCTTTACCGCCTGGCGCGGCACACATGTCGAGAATTCTTTCCTTTTCCCTCGGGTCCAGCGCCATTACGGGCAGGAAGCTGGAAGCGCCTTGTATGATGTAGTGTCCAGCTAGATATTCCGGTGTGGCGCCCATGGGTACCTGTGTGGAATACACTACCAAACCGATCTTCGTCCACTTTCCTATTGGGTCGAGATTAACACCCCTATTGATGAGAGCCTGAAAACAGAGATTCAACGTTACGATTAAAATTTTTTACAGATACAAAAATAGTATTGATTTACAGTTCATGATTTAGATATAAATTTATACCTCGGCTAAGTCGCGTCGTCGCGTTTTCAGAGTATTCGCGCGGATGGTCATAGGTCTTTGCACTTCGCTCGCTTCCAGAAATTCTAATAGCTCGTCCAGCGGAAACATTTGCATCAGTTTTTCCATTAGGAAGTCGTTGTAACTGTAATATGTGCACAAATCTCGCCGAAGTAGCTCGGTATACTCGGAACGTGATCTATCTTTCTCGCGCAATCTCTTGAAATCTGATAGCACCATGATAACGTCTCGTATCCGTTGCTGAATATCTTTTAAGCTAGTAACATTGGTAAGTTCTTGCTCAGTTGGAAAAGAGAATACACACTGATTTGCCATCATATCATCCATTTCTTCCTCCGCAAGTTTTCTGGTTGATAAAAAATGGAAAAAGAATTTAAAAAAATAGTATCATAGTATGAATAACTGAAAATTTATATCAATCAATAGTAATCAATCAATATTAATACTCACTCCTCTTTCTCCTTTTTCCTTTTCAATTTCTTATTAGCTTTTTCTATTGGAAGTAAATCCTCATCGTCACTTTCGTCATCATCTTTCTCCATTTGCTCGTCTTCGACAGATTCTGCCTCGTCACTTGATACCATTTCTTCACTGTCACTTTCTACATTATTCTCCATAAATTTTTTCTTCTTCAAAGTTTTTTGTGATTCTGCTGTAGAAAGCAACTGACTCTCGTCCTCGCTCGTATCTTCTTCATCCTCGCTCACATCTTCGTTTTCTCCGTCCTCGCTCATACCTTCATTCTCATTCATATCTTCATTCTCACTCGTATCTTCTTCCTCCATTTGTCCATTTTCATTTTCCTCAATTTCGTCATTATCACTTTCACTTTCTACATTGATCTTAGCATTCATTCCTTTTGTTTTTTTACTTTGCGTTGCTTTCTTGCCTAGTTTGGTTACTTGCTTATTAGAATGTATTTCCATATCTTCATCGTCACTATAATTATTCTCATCACTATCACTTTCTATGTTGGTTTTAGCTTTCATGATTTTCATCTTTTTACTTTGTTTTGCTTTCTTGCCTGGTTTAGATATTTGATTATTAGAGTACATTTTCATTTCATTGTCTTCACTGCGATGATTCTTACTGCTATCACTTTTTACATTCTTGGTTATATCTTTCTGTTTCACCTTTTGTTTCTTTTTATTTTGTTTCACTTTTGTTTCTAGCCTTGAGACCAGATCAGATTGGATTTCCATCTTATCTCCTTTGTCACTGACAAACTTGACTTTCTTCTCTTTCTTCCCTTTCTGCTGCTTTATTATATCGCCTCTCTAAAATCAATGAAAGATCGTTATAAAAAGAATTATATAAAAATTGTAAAAAAAAAAAAAAATAACAGACGTTTATCGTATAAATCAAGAACATACATTTTTTGGCTGTATCTGTTCTTCTTCCATATTAGTTTTCTTATTAAGTATTTTCTTGACATTTTCTTTCAACTGTTGATTCTTTGACAGTCTCTTCCTTGCCCTTAGCTTCTGTCGGTGACTTAATTTATTAGATTCTTTAACTGCAATATGGAAAGATAAGTTAATCGATAAGATAATTTCACAATTTATTTTACGCAGATATTAAAAAATTCAATACTATCTTTTCATACCTAGGACTCCCTTTGGAAATGTTGGATCGCTTTGTTTCTTTGCCTTCCTTCCAGGACCAGAAACCTGGTCTCGAAACTTTGCTTTACGACCCATTTAGCCTACAAACTATGCAACAGATTCTCTACTCAACAACTGTAACATAAATGTTTTTAGGTTATATTTTATAAGTAATGAATATTCTAATTTGTATTTTATATTTATCATATAAAAATACTATAAATCTTTACTGCTTCCTGTTTAAACAATTTCAGGTTTCTAACCTCTACAGAGCATTAATCAAGAAATATAATTTTGTACAATATAACACACTTCAATATCAAAATGTTAATTTTAATTATGTAATAAGACTACTTAAAATTACCTTGTAGAAATATTTCGTTATTTTGACAAATTATGTTATTAAAATGTTATTAAAATGTTATACCGCGAAACAACCCATGCACGATGCACTGATCGCAGCGTGGTCGAAGATTTTACATGAACAGGGAACTGAAGAAAGAGGAGACCAATTTCAGTCCTGTTTCAAACATATTGATTGGCTGCAGGCTAGAGAAATTCTCGAGTCCCTAGAAATTCTCTATTTTGTAGCTAATCAATCCGCTTGAAAATTTTGTCATATAAACAAAATATTAACCTTATAATCAGTCACGTGGCAACAACATTGAAATTGAAAATCCAAATCTATTCATCTGTCTCACACATACATATATATATATATATATATATATATTATAGGTATATAAAACGCATTTTTAATTTATATAAAAAAATTTAGCTGACATAGCATTGTGAAATAAAAGGATCAGTTCCGTCGCTGTTAGAAATTTCACGGATCCATTCTAGTTCTCGTAGTGTCCGCTAGATTGCTGATCAAATTGACATTGAAGCTCAACAGGACTTTCTCG